GACATTTTTTCCTAAAAACTCGTTGTTTTCCATCTCTGATTCTTGACTGCTGAAGCAGCTGTGTCTTGCTGTAAGCATCCAGTCCACAGAATGAGTGGGTCTTGCATAGTGATTCGCTTTCTCTCATTCCAGTGAACTGTGGGAAGTAGCTCAGTGTTACCTGCACAGTCCTTCTCTGGTGCCCCCATTTTGGGGTGTCTCTGTGTCTAACCACATACACATTCACCGGACTCGCACTTATTTCTGCTAATTTTGAGAGTAGAACTTTCTCCAGCCTTCCCTGTACCTAATGAGAACAATGTGATTTTTCCAGTTCTAATATTCTTTACCTTTTCCTGTAATTGTATCAGACATTTTCTTATAGGCTACGTTATTCTGCAGTGAACTGTTGGTGCAGTATCGGGATTTCCGGAGGTACAACGTGAACCTTCATTCTGAGAGAGGCTCCGAACCAGCAGTTAACCCAGCTGTAGTCCCTGGCGTCTCCCAGGGAGCAGGCGCTGTGCGGGGGTGCTGGGATGTGTCAGTCCTCATGAGGATTAGTCGGGAAGGACCGAGCTCCATTCCTGGCACTGTCATTTACTGCTAGTGATTTTTTTTTAAAGATTTTCTTTCTTTGATAGTGACAGAAAGCATGAGCAGGGGAAGGGGCAGAGGGAGAGGGAGAAGTGGACTCCTCAGTGAGCAGGGAGCCTGTTGCAGGTTCAATCCCAGGACCCTGGGATCTTGACCTAAGCCAAAGGCAGATACTTAACCCACTGAGCCACCCAAGCACCCCTACCAGTGATTTAATTATTTTATTTTGAAGATTTTATTTTAAGTAATCTCTGTCTACCCCCCAGTGTGGGGTTCAAACTCACAACCCCAAGATCAAGAGTCATGTACTCCATCGACTGAGCCGGCCAGGGGCCCCACTACCACTGATGTTAGGCGAGTCCTGTCACTGCTTTGATTCTCAGGGTCCCCTTCTGTGTACTAGGGCACTGATGACATTGCGTTCAGCTACTGTCCAGGTGAACGGAAGTCGTGCTTGTTGTTCCCTTGGTCTTCCTGCCCAGCCTGTTTGCTGTGCAGAGAGGACCCGGGGGACGGCCCCACATGTGACAGCCCGCCCATTTGCTCATGTTCTTCGGGCAGCCTCCAATCTGCCTTGCTGTGAAATAGTACCAGAAAAAGGCTTTTGTTCCTTTTTCCTTTCATTTTTGACTCCTTTGTCAATCAGGTGAATATGTAACAAATGGGGAATTAGTCACTGACTGTGCTGGATAAGAAACTTCTCCAAAGTGTTTAACTCTGATTCTCTACTTTAAAGTAATCTCATTTTTAGATCCCAGGGTGACCAGGCTGTAAAAAGGAAGGGTAGCTAATTTGGAAAACTGTGCAAGTGTTGACAAAGAAGCACTCTTATCTAGAGATCAGCTAAGTATAGTTTCTAAAGGTCAAGCAAGCATTTTTTTTTTTTTTTGCTAGAGAAACCCTCGTCTTAATTGGACTTTGTTCACTGGAAGAATATAACTATCTATAGTAGCTTTTTTTTTTTTTAAGACTTTATTTATTTATTTGACAGAGAGAGAGGGAACACAAGCAGGAGGAGTGGCAGGCAGAGGGAGAAGCAGACTTCTTCCTGAGCCGGGAGCCCCATGCAGGGCTTGATCCCGGGATCATGACCTGAGCTGAAGGCAGACGCTTAACGACTGAGCCACCCAGGCGCCCCATACAGTAGCTTTTGCTAAAAAAGTTCTTCAAGAAAAGAAGCACATTTTCTTTAGAATTCAAACTCCTTTTTTCAGTCTGTGGCCTCTGCCACCCTGTGTCAACCCAGCGTTTCAACTTGAACCAGCCCCAGTTTCTCCGCTTCCTAGCGGCACAGCTTTGAGTGGGCGTGACCTCCCTGAACACCGGCTTCCTCGTCCGCAAGGTGAAGGACATGGTGGCGCTTGGACCACAGTGTGGCTGTGGGGACCGAGTGAGACACATAAAACCCTCCGAACAGGGCCGAGCTGGAGTACACCCAGCAGCTCGTCTGGCTCGGTAGCGCCGGGGGTCAGCCTGCCTCAGGGTCCGACTTCTCTTTCTTGGGCTCAATTCAGGCAGACAACGTCCCAGGGAGGACGTCGGAGTGTCTCGGCTTCATGGGAGAGGGGGTCTGCAGCTGGGCCGGGAAGAGCAGGGACTGTGTGTTGTTACTTCATTGTGCTTTCACACTCTCACGCTGTAACCTCCGACTTTCCGCACCCAGCCCCAAAGCCGCTACAGCTCTTTTTTTAAAATTTCTTTTCAGTGTTCCAGAATTCATTGTTTATGCACCACACCCAGGGCTCCATGAAATCGGTGCCCTCCACAATACCCACCACCTGGTTCCCCCAACCCCCCACCCCCTTCCCTCCAAAACCCTCCGTTTGTTTCTCAGAGTCCACAGTCTCTCATGGTCCGTCTCCCGCTCTGACTTCCCCCAACTCACTTCTCTCCATCTCCCCATGTCCTCCGTGTTATTTCTTATGCTCCACAAATAAGTGAAACCATATGATAATTGTCTGTCTCTGCTTGACTTATTTCACTCAGCATAACCTCCTCCAGTCCCGTCCATGTTGCTACAAAAGTTGGGTGTTCATCCTTTCTGATGGAGGCATCATACTCCATAGTGTATATGGACCACATCTTCCTTAGCCATTCGTCCGTTGAAGGGCATCTTGGTTCTTTCCACAATTCGGCGACCGTGGCCATTGCTGCTATGAACATTGGGGTACAGATGGCCCTTCTTTTCACTACATCTGTATCTTTGGGGTAAATACCCAGTAGTGCAATGGCAGGGTCATAGGGAAGCTCTAGTTTTAATTTCTTGAGGAATCTCCACACTGTTCTCCAAAGAGGCTGCACCAACTTGCATTCCCACCAACAGTGTAAGAGGGTTCCCCTTTCTCCACATCCTCTCCAGCACATGTTGTTTCCTGTCTTGTTAATTTTGGCCATTCTGACTGGTGTAAGGTGGTATCTCAGTGTGGTTTTGATGTGAATCTCCCTGATGGCTAGTGATGATGAACATTTTTTCATGTGTCCCACTGTAGCACTTCTCCTGGGAAAATGTCACAGGCATGATCCGTTCAGGTTTCCCCACCTTTTATAACCCAAACCGGACACGTGGACCCATAGATCACTACACGCGCACACTACAATAATACAGCTTTCTCCGGACATGCAACCCAAGCAGACTCAGCCGTTGTCCCTCCTAGTATAAATCCACAAGAACTGAACCAAGGCTAGTAGTCAGGGGCCAGGCAATAGGGCCTTTGTGTTTCATTGGCTTCTCGCCTACTCTGCCAGCTAAGAATAAATAAAATAATAATAAATAAAAGCCCGGCGACCCCATCCCCGTTAGGAAGGCTAGTATGAGAACAGGAAGTAACAAGTGTCATCAAGAATATGGAGAAATTGGGGCGCCTGGGTGGCTCAGTGGGTTGAAGCCTCTGCCTTCAGCTCAGGTCATGATCCCAGGGTCCTGAGATCGAGCCCCGCATCAGGCTCTCTGCTCAGCTGAGAGCCTGCTTCCCGCTCTCTCTCTGCCTCCCTCTCTGCCTATTTGTGATCTCTCACTCCGTCAAATAGATAAATAAAATCTTTTAAAAAAAAAAAAGAATATGGAGTAATTGAAATCTTCGTATACTCCTGCAGGGAATGTATAATGGTGCAACTACTATGGAAAACAGTTTGTTGGTTGCTCGAATAATTAAAAATAGAACTGCCATATGATGCGGCAGTCCTGCTTCTGGGTATATACCCGACGGAATTAAAAGCAAGGACTCAGAGATATTTGTACACACGTGTTCATAGCAGCAGTCACAGTAGCCGAAGCGTGGAAGCAAGCCACGTGTTCGTCAGTGGATGGATGGGGAAACGGAAAGTGGTACGGAAGTACCATGGCTTGTTACTCAGCCTGAAAAAATGAGGAAACTCTGACATACTACAACATGGGTGAACCTTGAGGGCGTTATGCTAAGTAGAATAGGCCAGTCACAAAAGGGCAAGTAGTATGCTGTCCCACTACAGCATGTGTGGGACAGCGTACTATGTGGTACCTAGAGTGGTCAGAGTCATGGAGTCGTAAAGCAGAAGACCATTATCAGGGCCTGGCAGTGGGGGGTGGGGAGCGCTGGGCAGTCATTGCTTAATGGGTACAGTGTTTCAGTTTTGCAAACTGAGAAGAGTTCTGGGGGCACCTGGGTGGCTCAGTGGGTTAAGCCTCTGCCTTCGGCTCAGGTCATGATCTCAGGGTCCTGGGCTCGAGCCCCACATCGGGCTCTCTGCTCAGCAGAGAGTCTGCTTCCTCCTCTCTCTGCCTGCCTCTCTGCCTCCTTGTGATTTCTGTCAAATAGATAAAATCTTTAAAAACAAAACAAAACAAAAACAAGAAGAGTTCTGGAGATCGGTGGTGATGGTTGCACAGTGACAGGAATGTGTGAATACCACTTTGTTGTAAACTCCGAAATGGATAAGGTGGTAAATGATTAAGGTGGTTATGTTACATACCTTTTACCATGATCAGTCGATCAGTAGATGGTTGGAGAAATGGAGTCTTGAGTTGGGAACCATTTGAATATATACCTGATAAACATTGTTTCATAGACTATTTTTTGGAGCAGCTGTGGTAGGCTCGCTGTGAAATGTTGAGCAGAAGGGTCGGAGAGTTCCCGTACTCCCGTCACCGCCCCCACCAAGCAGTGTGTCTGTTACAGTCAGGGACCTTGTGTTGACACATCACAATCACACAAAGTCCACAGTCTGCTTTAGGGCTCACGCTTGGTGTTATGCATCCCCCGAGTTTGGGCAAAGGTATCATGACACGTATCCACCATTTGTTTTTAAGTTTAGAAAAGAGTTTGAACAAGAAGGTGAGATCAGCTCAGTAACTGAGCTGGAAAGCTGACGGTGCTGGTTCCTGTCTGTCTTTGCTTCAGGGCACCATGGAGAAGGATAACAGCACCAAGCAGAGCGTGACTGGGGACTCGCGTCCGGCCGAGGGACACGCCGGGAGCAGCGCTCCGCAGGGAGAGCAGGGGCACCTGCTTTATCACGAGGAAACCATCGACCTCGGCGGAGACGAGTTCGGGTCTGAAGAGAATGAGACTATGTCGGAAGAGTCTAATAATTTTGTAGATAAGCTTAACGAGCACATGATGGAAAGCGTCCTCATTTCTGACTCTCCTAATAATAGCGAAGATGACGCAGGTGACCTCGGCTGTTTGCAGGATGTTGGGGACCCTGCAGAAGGCAGCGCAGGTCCCAGACTGGAAAGTCTCGAGGATGAAGGAGCCGTGGACACCCTGAGCAAGGACAGCGGAAGTGACGGAGAGGGTGCATCTGAAGACATCTCTGGCACGACCCCCGACCCAGAGCACAGTCAAGTCACAGGTGTGCCGGCCTTGGGGGGGCAGGGAGCAGAGGACCCTGGCCCAGGGGACAGGAGCACTGGCCCGGAGGGGCCGGGGGGCGCTGCACCCTTGAGGCAGTCCCCTCCCCACGAGGAGCCCATCCCCGTGTGCACCATCTTCAGCCAGCGGCCGCTGCTGCCGCGGGACGGCTTCGAGTCCCAGATGGTGAAGTCTCCGAGCTTCAGCGGCGCCAGCGAGACGGCGGCCAAGACCCCCGCCCAGGCGGTGCAGCCAAGCCCCAGCCTGAGTAAATTTTTTGGCGACCCCGCGAGCACTAACTCCCTGGCCTCGGACTTCTTCGACTCGTTCACGACGTCCACTTTCCTCTCCGTCAGTAACCCCAGCGCAGGTTCTTCGGCGCCAGAAAATCTGTCTTCGCTGTCCGCTGCGGGGGCAGAGAGGTCCCCGGGTGCCGCTGAGCCTTCTCACCCCCCAGGGATGGAAAAGGCAGAAGCAGGGGTCTCCACAGCTTCTCTAGAAATCTCTCCGTCTCCAAAGCCGTTTTCCCAGATCCAGGCTGTGTTTGCGGGGAGCGAGGACCCCTTTGCCACGGCGCTGAGCATGAGCGAGATGGACCGCAGGAGTGACGCCTGGCTCCCCGGGGAGGCGACCAGGGACATCCTGGCTTCAGTAGCCACCCAGCAGTACAGCACAGTGTTCGTAGACAAGGAGAGCCTCACCATGCCGGGCCTCAAGTTTGACAACATCCAGGTAGGTGGGAGACATCCTTAGAGGGGGTGCTGGTGGCGGGACTCGGTGGCCACTTCAGTTCCTCTTCGTCTTTTTGTTTCCCTCCCTCTCCCTCACCCCTGCTATGGGGGGGGTGCCCACACGCACACGCGCGCGCGCCTCTCAAGGACTGAAAAGTCCTCATTTCTCAGTGACTCCTAAAATCCTCATTTGGAGAGGCTGTGTTACATCACTAGCTAATTTGGAACTCCGTTGATTTCCCTGATGTGATATAGTTAAGGCAGTGGCCAGAGTCTTACAAGCACATGCCAGCAAGGTAGACAGTTACGTCGTAATTCTTTGATGTCACCGGGAACCTTGTGTGGTCGGGTTATTTGTGACACGTAAGCTTCAGCAGACGATGAGTCCCCCGTTCCTTTCATTGTAAATCTGGGGAGTTTTGCATTTTACATGCTTGATACAGAGTTTTATAGACTCGTTTAAAAAAAGTGGATGGCCCACAAAGTAAATCAAATCACAGAAATGATTTCAACATTTTATATAATAAATAGTGACAGAGAACTTCGATCTACCAGTCAAAGACAATAAGATTATCTCCATTTTCTGTTACCTAATTAGGCATTTGATTTATGATTATTCCATGTTTGCTAAAGTGTGGGAAAATGGCCTGTCTCAGGCAGCCCTAATGGGACCATAAGTCAGTACAAACTTTTTAAATCAGCATCCAGATGTGCATATTATTTGGTCCAGAAAGCCAGTCTGAGGAATTTTTTTATAAGAGAATAATGTCATGGGTATGCAAATACCCAGCTTTTGGTATGCCTGTCAGAGTGTGGTTTAGTATGGCAAAGCATCTGAAAGGACCCAAAAGCCGTTATCAGGAGGCTGCTTGAATACATCTGACTCGTCTGTCCGATGGAATATTAACGCAGGCGGGGCTCTGGGGGGCTCAGTCGGTGAAGCATCTGCCTTCAGCTCAGGTCATGACCTCAGGGTCCTGGATCGAGCCCCGCTTCAGGCTCCTGGGCTCCCTGTTCAGCAGGCAGTCTGCTTCTCCCTCTACCTCTGCCCCTCCCCACTCCCTGCTTGTACACACTCTCTCGTGCTCTCGTTCAAATAAATAAATAAATAAATCCTTTTTTTTTTTTTAATAAAAAAATGTTTAAAAATGATGATACAGCAGAATTTTGTTTTACGATTTTATTTATTTATTTGACAGAGATCACAAGTAGGCAGAGAGGCAGGCAGAGAGAGAGAGCAAGGGAAGCAGGCTCACCGCTGAGCAGAGAGCCCGATGCGGGGCTCGATCCCAGGACCCTGGGATCATGACCTGAGCCGAAGGCAGAGGCTTTAATCCACTGAGCCACCCAGGCGCCCCGTACAGCAGAATTTTTAACGAAGTTCATATCTTATTGTTAAATTTGAAAACCTGGGTACCAGATGGCATGTGGCATGCATGGTACGGGAAGAATGTTCACAAGTATGTGTAACGCGCACTTGTAACGCGAGCGTGTGGGAGGCCCGCTGCAGGTGATGGCAGGGTTGTGGCCCAGCCCAGTGCATGGGGGGCACCACTCCACCCTGGGGGCTGGCCTTGTGCAGGTGCGTCTCCGCCCGCTCAGGGGAAGCAGGTGCCCTGTCCTGCACACGCATGGCTGGTCGGAAAGCCCAGAGTGTGGGATGCGTGATGTTGTGGCATTGGTGGACTGCTGTGCCCCGGGGAAGGGCCACACTGGGGACATGGAGCTGGTAGCTCTTTGCTAGGGACCTAGCGGTGCAAGCCCATAGGTTCCAGACACTTTGCGTGGCAGTCTTGACCGTGCGTTCAGGTACCAAACACTTACTGTGCACACGCCGTGCACCAGGCACCCTGGGACGCTTCTTCTCCACTCTTTCAAGCAAAATATACTGAACATAAACTTCTTTTGCGGGATCTTTGTAACACATTCTGGTTACGGACTCTGAGTTCAGGGGACGCTTGGACGTGCAGGATTTGATTTGCGTATTCACACACTCCCCCCTCCCTTCCCTGGCCCTGTCTGCCTCCATTCTCCCTGCCGGGGTAGGGAGGGGGCGCTTTGCTCTTCTGTTTCCTGTTCCTTCCGTCCCCGCTCTGGGGAGCCTGTGCTCGGTGGCTGTGTTCCCGCAGCCTCAGTGGGACTGGCCTCTTAGCTTTTCCGTCTGCACTCTCTGTTGTTTGCGGTTTGCGCCCCCTGTTATAATTCAGGGGAAAATTGGACGTTGCCCTGGAAATGACTTTGCCCAGGGGTCCTAGGGTACGTTTGGACGTGCGTGGAGGGCCTTCAGTCTGGGTGCCGAGAGGTCTGGGCTGAGCACACGACATTGCATGGTTGGGCCTAGGAGGCCAGAGAGCCTGCGGGCTGGTTAGTGTCGGACCGGAAGTACCGAGCCGCCCCACGAAGTCCTTCTCGAGTCCAGAAACACAAGCGCCACGTTTGGGCTGGTTTCCCCTAGGCTGGATCAGATGCACAGGCCGTGTCCTGGGTCCTCCCTAGCTCTGAAGCTTCCGGGACGTACCTCCCCCGTCGCACGCAGCTGCCCGAGAGAAAGTCAGGACGCCGCGCGGGTCAGCGGGGTTCCGGAGCTCCCGCTGCCCGGGCAGAGCGCGGGGAGCCGACCGGGCGCGGCCTGCCCGCCTTTCACCTCCTTCAGGTCCCCCGGTAGCGCCTCCAGTCCCGCGTACAGCTCCCAGAGCGCCTCCGGCTCTCCCACGGGACCGGTGTGCTGGACGCGTGTCACTGTCTCTCCATCTGCATGTTCCCAGCCCCAGGCGGAAAGGGAAGCGTGTGGTTACCCTTGAGCCGACGTGCTGCGTTTGTTTGGCGGAAGACTGAGGACTGGGTTCTGTATTCGCTTCCGGGCACTCCAGCTTTTGAAACCATTGATCGGGTTTACTTATCAATACCCCCCCGGTTACTGTTATTACCAGAGATGTTCACGCTCAGTCAGCTTTCTAAAACACCGTTTTTCTCCAGGTTGCTCACCTCATTAAAAATTACCTTCCTGGGGGATAAAAGTTGAAAAGACTTTAATTTGTTTCTCTGTGTAGCGACATCTGCGGTGTTCTTAGCTAAGTTAGGAGCTGGAAGGGGAGCGTGTGACACCTCATTCCTCTTCAGTGGCGTCAGAGGGAGGACACAGGCATTTTCAGCTCATTATGGTTGCCCGTGGCCTCTGTCCTCAAAGGAGTAAATACAAAGTTTGTGGGGAAATGGTAGTTCATAACTTTTTGGAACCAGTAAGGAATGGAAGTGGAGAATCATTGGATGGTGCTTGTTCATAAAGAGACAGAAACGGGAAAAGGGAATAAACGAAAGCAGCAAAATTTCAGTGCTGAGGGTGACAGGGTGCGGAAGGTGGTGGGACCAGCCCTTCTCGTGGGCGTCAGAATTCTCCAGCCCATACTGGCAGAACGAGAAACCTGGCACACGCACTTGGAGACTAGATTCTTCCACCACCCCTTTCTCACTCTGTTCCCCATTCTCACCTTCCCCCTCACCCTTCCTGCACCTCGGAATTCACTGGAATCCCGTCAGGGAGGCCCACACAGTCCATGTGGAAACCCCTTGTCGGGAGTCTCCAGAAGCGCAGGAGCCACCTGTTCCTGCAGCTCCACCAGCCCCTGTTCTCAGTTTCAGTTACTCTGTAGAAACCACTTACGTCATCTCCATTTTTAGAGGTTACTTTTTTCTGGATATGCAGCATGTTCACAGTATAAAATTCAAGGTTGGCAGGTGTTTTTTTTCCCCCATTCAACATTTTAAAGATGCCCTTCCATCGTATTCTGGATGTGAAGGTTATGATAATTTTAAGATCTTATTTATTTGAGAGGGAGAGAGCACAAGCAGGTAAGAGGGGGACGCAGAGAGGGAGAGGCAGACTCCCCGCTGAGCACAGAGCCTGACATGGGGCTCGATCCCAGGACCGTGGGATCCTGACCTCAGACAAAGGCAAGCACTTAAGGACTGAGCCACCCAGCCATCCTTTAATAATTTATATCTTCACTCTTCTGTACCTAATGTACATGTTATTCTCTGGTTACTTTTAAGATTTTATCACTGGTTTTCAGCTGTTTGACCCTGATGTGCCGTCACGTGCTTTTCTTTTCTGTTTCTGTTGCTTGGATTTGTTGATTCCGTTGGGATGTGCTTTCCCACTTGGGAGTATTCTGGTCCTTACTTCCTCAAAGAGTTCTCAGTTCCTCCCTCCCTTGTCTCTGCTCCTGGGACTCCAGTTCCACACGTTACTCAGATTTGCCAGAAGTCACGGAGGATCTGTGTCTGTTTCGCAGTTTTCTTTCTTTTTGCTTCCCTTAGAAATTCTTGCAGTCGTGTCCTGAAGTCCGTATGTGCTTTTTAGTTTGTAGCTGATGCTTTTTGATGAATTTTTCATATTTTTTATCTCTGGAATTTACGTTTGCTTCTTTCACGTATCCTTTTCTTTATCCAGTGTGTTGAAGTTTTACCTCAGACCCTCACGAACATTTGTAGTAGCAGCCTGAAGGTTCTCCTCCAGACGGTCCGCCGTCTCCAGAATCTCTGGGTCTGTTTGTACTTATCTCTTCTCTTAGTTGTGGGCCACATGTGCTGGCTTTATCCTGTGTCTCGTCATTTTTGATTAGAGGTTGGACATCGTGGGTTTCCTGGTTTTGGTTGGCGTTCTGGTCAGCATGTATGATATATGCAGATTGACGTGATCTTCTTCAGCTTTGTTTTTAAGTTTCTTAGGGTGACGTTAGAGGAGCTTTTACTCATGGGTGGCCTTTCTCATGTCTCTTGAGAGCCTCCGTGTTCATAGAGAGTGCTCCACAACAGTTGTCATAAACTTGACATCCCTCAGCATGTGTGAGCACTGAAAACTGCTCAGCCCCCCTGTCGTTTCGCCTTCTAGAGCATCCCCCTGCGCGTGGGCCACGTAGTGTCCAGCAGTAGAGTCGGGCTTCTGTGCCGCGTTCCCTCCTTTCCAGCGCCCCGGCCTCTCGGGTTCCCAGCTTGGTCTCCTCACCTCAGCAAGTTCACCACACCCTGCCTGGGACTCGTCTTCACACAGATGTGCCTTTGAATTCAAGAGTTCAAGTCATCTGTCCCAGTCTTGGGATCCCAGCCCTCCACCGGGTCTGAAAACAATTGCTTCCTCCCTTCCTCACACTAGGACAGTCCCGTCCCGGTGCTGCTTTTGCTCACCACCCACACAGGCGGCTCCTGAGCTGAGTCTGCTGAACTAAGCTGACGCGTGAGAGCTCGGGAAGACATGCGGGCCAGTTCAGGCCATTCTGTGGCAGCCCCCCACAGCTCTCCTTGTTGAAGCATTCTCGAATTCTGATGTGTTTGGGGGCCTGACAAGAAAAAATTCAGTTTGTTTATTTTTTGTTTTTCAGGGTTTTTTTTTAAGATTTTGTATTTTTGACAGACAGAGACCAGAGAGGCAGGCAGAGAGATGGAGAAGCAGGCTCCCCGCTGAGCAGAGAGCCCGATGCGGGGCTCGATCCCAGGACCCTGAGACCATGACTGTGGAGCCGAAGGCAGAGGCTTCACCCACGGAGCCCCCCAGGCGCCGCTTTGGTTTTGGTTTTACAGCTTTATGGAAAACACTCCATGTGCCGCACTGTCAGCGTGCAATTCACTGGTTTTTGGCATTTTGACAGAATTGTGCGGCCATCACCACAGTCAGTTTTTATCTCCTCCAAAAGAAGCCCTTCAGATTCACCTCCCATCTCCCGTGCCCCTCCCCCAGCCCCAGCCAAGCACTGATCTCTCTGTCTCTGGATTCTCCCGTTCTGGACGTCTCACGCAAGTGCAGTCGTGCGACATGTGGTCTCGCGTGACTGGCATCTGTTACAGACAATGATGTTTTCAGGAGCGCCCCATTTTGTAGCCTGCGTCACTCCTGCGTCATCACATTTTATTGTCAGATGACGTTCTGGCCTTGCGTGTTCCACGTTTTACCCATTCATCCCTCGTCGGGCACTGGGTTTGTTCCCACTTTGGGCAGCTGTGAATAACGCTGCTTCTGAACATCATGAACAAGTTCTGTGTGGTCACGTTTCCATCTCTCTTGGGTGCGTCCCTCGGAGTGGAACTGCTGGGTTACATGGCACCTCTCAGGTTCGCTTTTTAAAGATTTATTTGAGAGAGAGAGAGAGCATGTGTGTGCACACGCGAGAGGCAGAGGGACAGACTCTCAGGCAGACGCCCCGATGCGTGTGGAGACCGACCCAGGGCTGGCTCTCAGACGCTGAGATCATGACCTGAGCCGAAACCTAGAGTCAGGGACTCAACCAACTGAGCCACCCAGGCACCCCTGGGGTTCACATTTTGAGGAATGTCTTCCAGATGGCTACACCATTTGACATTTCACCAGTTTGGGGTTTTGCCTCGTTTTTGTTTCTTTGATGTTGTTTGTTCAGGAGGTTTGGCTTACGCTAGGAGAGCACAAGGAGCGAGGGGATCACATGCTCCCGGAGCTTCTCCACTGGGGCCAGGGCAGAGAGCTCCATGTGCACAGGGTCGGGTGCGGGGCCCACTGTCTCTTCAGACCACTGCCCCAGGACCACTGTGGCTTCCTGTTTCCCGGACAGTAAAGCCCACATGCTGTGAATCAGCTGCTCTGGTTTCCATGTTGTCTTTGTCCCTTAAAATCAAGAAGGGACTGGTGAACGGTCCAGACTGCAGGAGGGGCGGCGGCCCGCGGCCATCTGTGAGCCGAGATCAGCCCTTGCTCTTGCATAAACACATCTGATTGGGGGCAGAGGGGGAGTGTTGGAGGGGGACAGACATCTCCCCTGTTGCCTGCCTGAGTCCTGGCTCATTCCCAGCTGTCTCCCCACACTTCCTGCTCTGGCTGTGGATGCACTAGTCCCTCACTGAAGAGTTGCTGATTTGGAGGGAGCCAAGGCTTCCAGGCGGAGCCCACCCCAGGAGCAACAGCGTAGCTCTAAGAAAAATCCAGAGTGGGAGAAATTTGCTTCCCTCTCCAGTAACCATAGGAGGATGTGCAGTCAGGTGTCACGACTCCTGGGCCATAGTCCCCTCCAGCTCAGTGACATAGCAGCAGTAGGTTTGCGGGAGGACATGTTGTCCCATCCTTGGGCCCTCATAGCTAAGATGTTTGTTAGTCCTACATGTGCTCCTGTGTCAGGAACTTCCTGTGCTAACAAAAATGTTAACCAGTGGAGAATTTTAAAGGCAAAAGATTTTTTCAGTGTGGTCTAATTAACAGAGAATGTTGCAAGGATGGCGGAAGTAAATTGATCCTCCCTCTGCCGCATTGAGGTGGGATTCTGCCCTTTCCCGGGTCGCAGCTCCTCCCACTCGGATAAAGCCCTTTGTCTGATAGGAGTTGCGTTCCTGGAAGCTTTGTGGAACCATATGGCTGAGCTCTTTTTATTCTGCCCTTTAATTGTCCCTCCTGGACCAGTTAGCCCCTTCTAGCATTTGAAGCATTTCATCTCATGCTCCGAAAGCAAAAAATCATCAAAGTGCTGCTTCTGGATTTTTGCTGCCGTATAAGTGAGAGGTGCGGCTTGGCCTCTTGGAGCACCGGGCTCAGCGCCCTGGGCCGGACCAGACTGATGACCTGCATCGCCCCTGCCAAGGCCCCCGCTCCCCCTTTACCTGTGGATGGGCAGCCACAGACCCCTGCAGCACCTCCTCAGTCCTCCTGCACGCATTGTCCACAGGCTGGTGCGTTTTAGCTGCCAGCGTTCTGGGCGACCGTGGAAGATTCACCTTGCATGCCTATGCCAAGGGTAGGACAACAATGAAGGGGCAGAGACGGTTGTGGAGTCTGCGGGGGACACCTCCACGCCGCTTTCCTCTCCGGCCTGCGTCCCTGTGTGCTCCCAGTGGCCTTGCACTGCTGGCCCTCAGCGGTCTGCGGCTGGAAGCAGGTGTTGTGCTCACCGAGGTGGAGAGGGTTCTTAGCCCCCAACACCCACCTCCCCAGGTTGCGTTGCTCCCTGGCCATTCCAGCGACTGAAATCCTTCCTCCCCTGGCTGGGCCAAAGTGCCCTGTCCTCTGCATCCGTCCCCCTCACCCATCCATTTTCCCCTTATGTTTGGTTCCACTTTTTTTTTTTTTAATCTAGGTGTAATTGATACACATTGTATTCATTTCAGGTGTATACACTGAATATTTGCAGATATTTCAAAATGGTCTCCACGATAAGTCTAGTTAACATCCCTCGCCTTACATATTCTAGAATTATTTTTCTCCTGATAAAAACTTGTAAGATGGACTCTCTTAGCAACTTCCCGGTCTACACCGCAGTGTTACACCGCAGTGTTGGTAACTGTAGTTCCCTTTCGTCCCCAGGACTTTCTGTAACTGAAAGTTTGCACTTTTGACCACCTTTCCCATTTGGCCGGTCTCTGCTCCCCACCCCTGCCTCTGGCAGCCACCATTGTGTTCTCTGTTCCCTGTGAGTTTGTTTGGTTTTTTGGTTTTTGTGTTTTTAAGATTCCATGTAGAAGTGAGGTCATGCAGGATTTGGCTTTCTCTGACTTCTTCCAGGTAGCAGAATGCCCACCGGGTCCCTGCGCGCCAAAGCACGGGCAGGGTTCCGTTCCTTCCTGTGGCTGAACAGTGTTCCGCGGGCGCTCGCTGCCTCTCTCTGCGCGTCAGTCCGCAGACAGGTGGCTTCTCTCCGCATCCCGTCTGGGAACAGGGTGGTGCAGACCTTTCTTCAAGTTAGTGTTTGAATGTCCTCCAGATAAGCAGCTGGGAGCAGCTTCGCGGGGCCCTCCCACGGTCCTGTTTCTGACTTTCCAAGCAAAGTCCCTCCTGGGGCACGGTGGCCACACCGTCTTGTGTCCCATCAGCTGTGCGCCGTGGTCCCGCTCATCCCCGTCCGCACCAGCGACCGTCTTCATGTGCTGTGGATTCCACATCTCAGTCCTATCACCCTGTCCTCGGGGGTGGCGAGCCTAAGGAGTCAAGCTGTGAGGCCGGAGTCCCCCGGCAGAGGCCCGTGAGGGCACTTCCCAGCCCACAGCGCGACTCCCGTGCGCAGGGGGCCTGGCGGAGCTGGTGGTAGAGGACCCGCAGGGGAGGGCAGTCTTCTCTTCTCTCCGGGCTTGGGGGTGAACCCAGCCCCAGAAGGAAGTCTGCAGCCAGCTCCCAGAGGCTTTCCCAGAGACCGGGGCAAACTGCTGGATTCCTGAGGCCAGCCCACTCCAGCCCCCACCCAGCCCTGGGGCCCGAATCCCGCCTGGCGCATCCCTGGTATAAGCCTGGTCCTGGGGCTGGTGATTTCCCCCTCTTCTAAAAGAAGGCGCAGTTCTAAAATACCCATTTTATTAAAGGTGGTTGATGCTTGAGCGTCTGGGTGATTGAAGTTTTACTGTACTGTAACCACGCGCTAACCTCCATACACCAATGGAGAAAAAAGAAATCTCGTTTAGTTATGGGTTCTGCTTAGCTGAGTTTAATTAACATTCTATTGTCTTGACATACTTTCCTTCCATTCCTTCCAGGGGGACGCAGTTAAAGACCTGATGGTTCGCTTCCTGGGCGAGAGAGCCGCGGCGAAGAGACTGGTCTTACACGCGGAGTCCGTGGAGCAGACTTTTGTGGGGTTGAGACAGCTGATCGTAAGTAATGACGGGTTTGATTTCAGTACTGTTGTTTCCAGAAGGCCGGCCTTTCTCTGTCATGTTTTCCTTGGAGTTAATTACTTCAAATGTGTTATCTAAAGCCTTGCGTGTCCATAAAATTTTGTTGAATTAGATACCAGTCCTGTGCAGCAAAAAGTGTCATATTAACATACTTTTAATTTTAAGGCCAATTAGTTAAAAAGCCATTATTTTAAATGATTAAACTACTTGAAGCAGAATATACTTTGATTAAATATATGCTTCATCAGATATGATAACTAAAGATAACTAATTTTCATTTTTATGGGTTTTTTTTTTAAATACTTCATTTTTGCCACTTGGCATAAGGGGTTTATTATTGAATGGGAGGGGTCACCAGAAATGCACACGAGAATCCTTGTTCATGACAGGAGTAAGTGTGAATTGCAGGCAGAGGTGCAGCCCCAGATGCTAACAGGGAGCCATCTGAACTACAGGCACGTTAACATGAACGGGTGGGTGTTTCTGGCGGTCTCTGAACCCCGGGAACCTGTACGCCCCCCACAACTGCCTTTTTCCTCGTTACCTTTCATCATATTTAAAGGAGTGTCTGTCCTCAAAAAGGTGAATAAGGATCATTTGTTTAGGTGTCGAGCAGATATTTTATACACAAAGCAGATAAAGTTTAGGGACACCCAGGTGCCTCAGTCAGCTGAGAATCAGCTCTTGATTTTGGCCCTGGTGGTGATGTCAGGGTCGTGGGATCAAGCCCCACATCAGGCTCTGCGCTTGGTGTGGAGTCTGCTTGTCCCACGCCCTCTGCTCCACGCTCTGTAAAATAAATAAGATCTTTTTTAAAAAAAATGATTAAAGTTTCATTTTTTAGTAAACATAAATCAAGTGCTTCGTTGGATTTTTTTTTTTTACTGAAGTGATTCTGGAATTATTGCAATGACTCAGAAGCTTTGGGAAGAAAAGATGCAGAGATAGGCTGGCTTTTTGTTTATTTAAGATTTTTTCTTTTTTAATTTATCTGAACACCCAGTGGAGGGCTCGAACTCACACCCAGAGAGCAAGAGTTGTGTGCTCTGCTGACTGAGCCAGCCAGCGTGCCCCGGCGATAGTCTGGTTTTACAAGGGGTGTAAACACCTAGTTTTTAAATATGCATATACTTTATTATTTGTTAATGAAGTAATAGGTCTTTACGGGCAAGCATTTCCGTGGTCGTGTGACGCTCGTCACACCCACACTCCTATGTTTTCGGAGGGTTCTTGTCATTGCCTTGGTTTGAGCACGCAGCAGCTGCTGTGACTGCCATCACGGGGGCGGGTGGCCCTGGACAGCCACGGCGCAGTGACCAGTAGTTCTTTATCTTTTTAAGTAAACTCAATCCCACACGTGGGACTCGAACTCAGGACTCCAGGATCAAGGGTCCCTTACTCTCCCAGCTGAGCCCCCCAGGCACCCCCGTAATGATCCGTTTGAAAAGTACACACGAAGCCACACACAGTCCTTGTAACTCATTTGTTCTACACGCGGTCTTTTTACCTGCCTCGATTATTTGTGCTCTTAATAAATACATACAGTGGCTTGGGCTTTTCATACATTGAAAATACATAACACCAGGAGTCCTAGCAAGGAGATCTATTTAAGGTGGAAAATGTATTTATAAAAAAATTACCTTGCCATGGTATTTTAATTATGTCCTAAAATAATTCCCAGCCTCTTTAAGATTAGGAAAGAGTTTTGAAATGTATTTCCCTCAGTAATGTCAACGCATTCTAACATTGTAATTTACAGGGAAGTGAATGTCACAGCCTGTGGAGAAGGACATTTTAATCACGTTAATGGTATCATATATAGAGTTAATGATTCCTTGTGAGTCGTAGATGGGGAAAGTTATGTACATACCATTAGTTACTTGAGTGACTTTTATTGGACTATTTTTCTCATCTTTTGGAAGTCGTCGAGTGCCTGTGTTCAGTTTTTCAGATAGTTATATCTTATTTCCTAGTATAAAAAAAGTAACATTTATTTAAATTGAGATCTTTTTTCTCATATCAAACTAACTTTATTTTCAGAGTTCTACGTGTCATTTCCAGTAATTGTGAGATTTTCATAAGATTTTTCTCTACAGAGCTTCAAATTTTAGAGGGTATGCTTTAAACTGTAATTATAAAAATAATTTTTTCACCAAATACTTCTGACATCTATCGAAATGGAGGAGGATCATCAGGAAGGGGGCTAGAAAGTGGACAAGACTGTGGTAAAAATAGCAAAAAGCACTCTGAGAAAATACATAATTAAAATTTCAAATAGGCAGTGTGTAATCCAAAGCTGTGGTTCACAAGGCTGCTGAGGTGAGGTCCCGCTGGTTTGAAGGGAGGGAGTACCAGCCATTAGAACTCGGCCCGTTGGGTCATTCTGGCCTGTCCTCTAAACGGTCTCGGCCTGTCCCTCAGACCTGGCTCATTGGGCATGGGCCAGCCCTGGTCTTCCCTGACCTGTTTCTGTTAACAGAGGGGCCCCGGCCCTGCTAGGTCCTTGTCATCACTCGGGCAAGTCCAAAGAGCTGAAAAGACATCAGAAAGCTGAAGGCCATGCCCTTTGGAGTCTGGAGAGGTAAACTGCGGGCACACACACCCACACGTGTGCGCATGCTTTGCATGCGTGAATAGGGAAATGTCCCCAGGCCTTCTGCATGAGGCTTGTGCAAGGACAGACCCTGGAGAAGACTGACTGCAGTGGGAACCACATCTCTCCATGGTAGCTGGGCGGGGGCCAGAGTGGGTCCGGGAAATGACAGGGGCGCAGGGTGCGAGTGATAGGACGGAGCCCAAACCACACACTCGTGTAGAGAGAGCAGGTTACTCGGGAAAGGAGAAGCTAAGCCGTGATGGTACAGAATTAATGGGATATCCAAGTGGGAAAAGTTAAAAAGATCTATCTCTTACCACACACAAAAGTAAACTCCAAATAAATTAAAACGATTTTTGAATTCCAGAAAATAGAGTAAATTCTTAACGACTCAGGGTAGAAAAGCATTCTTTAAATCTTTCAGGGAGAAATGAATAAATTTAACTACTTTAAAACTTGAAACATATACAACCAAAACACCATAAACAGTATTAAAAAGAGACCACAGGGGCACCTGGGTGGCCTAGTCAGTTGAGTGTCTGCCTTCAGCTCAGGTCATGATCTCAGGGTCCTGGGATCGAGTCCGGGGTCCAGCTCTCTGCCCAGTGGAGACCTGCTGCCCCTTCTGTGCGCCCACCCCCCGCTTGTGCTCACTTTTACTCTGTCTCTCTCTTTCTCTGGAATGAATAATAAAATCTTTTAAAGTGAATATTAATACACATTAATACCTTCCAACCATGCATAAGAAACAAAAACAGCCCAGTAGGAAAAAGGCAGATGGTATGGAGAGGCCGTTCACAGAAACCACATAGCCTATAGACATGGGAACGCTTGTCCTTGCTGGGTGTCCCAGAGACGTGGCACGTTTCAGCAGCCGCAGGCGTCTGTGGCAGCGGAGAACGAGCTGGACTGCCTGCTCTGTACCACCCGCCCCCATCATTTCTGCCTGCAATCCTGTACTGCAGGAAAACACTCGTACCCGTGCATGGAAGGATGTGCTCAAGAATGTTTGTTCCTGTGTTTGTATTAGCCCAAAATTTTATTGGAAAACCTTAGCTCTGAGCGGGAAGAAGAAAGTGGTGCTGCGCAGTCAGTTAAACCCTTTGGAGCTGTTGAAACACGTGCTGGAAAGCCGTGTTCGTCAGTGTAAGTAGATTTCCCTGACAGCGCCAAGCCATCAGAGCAGCGTGCAAAAAGGCTGCCATCGCGGGCCCGCGTGTGTCAGTGCTTGAAAACGAGCCGATAATCCCTGGGCCACAGCTCTGCGTCCAGGGCAGCCCTGAAGCCCTGGCCGTGTTTGGCAGCGAAGCCGCCCTGACCCGGCGTATTTGCTGCCTGCCTTCTGTCTCTCCCCTGCTCCCCTGCTCTGCAGGGCAGAGTGAGCCGGGAGAGCCCCTTCCAGCTGGCGCAGCCTCCTGTGGCCTCCGTGCTCCTGCAGGCCGTCACCTCCTGCCTGGGCGTCCCTCTGGTCCTTGGCCCTGGGTGCGGCTCCATCCCTCCTCGGTCGTCCTGGCCCATCTGCACCTGTGCAGGTCGCCCCTCTCTAGGGCCTCCCATTACTGCCGGGCTCCTGGTGGATAAGATAGTTATGGGCTTTGCTGATCCCACTTGGTGTGAACAAAAATATTCTTGTCTGGAAATATTTTTGTTTTTGTTTATTTAAGATTATTTATTTGGGTGGGGAGCCAAGCGTGGGGGTGGGGAGGGGCAGAGAGAGAGGGAGAAGCGGACACCCAGCTGAACAGGGAGCCCAACACAGGGCTTGATCCCAGGACCCTGTGAGATCATGAACCCAGCCGGAGGCAAACACAATCAGCTGAGCCGCCCAGGGCCCCTGGAAATCTTTCCGAAATATCAAAGTACACTCGAATTATACACAAAGAAATACTTTATATTCTCTTATCAGGAGAAAAAATTTACTTGGGTAAATGTAAATGCTAAATGCTAAATTTGTCTAACAACTTCTTAGTTTTCTTTCCTCTTTCTTTTTTTCTTTTTAAACTGTGGTATGAGGAAAACCTACTGGCATGTGTGGTTCCTGAACCAGAAGATAATCCATATCCAGCTTAGCCTTTAAAGGAGCCGTGCTGAGTGTGCGCCGGCCCTCAACGGCAGTGAGCCTGTGCAGCGGGAGGAGGTCTGCGTCCCTCTAGCACTTGCCTCTCTCCCAGGCTCCTTGTTCTCAAACAGGCAGCCAAGGAGGGCAGGGAGGCACCCACAACCCTGCCCCATGCTGCTCATTGTCTTGAGGAATTAGGTCATTCTGACTCCGGGAAAACTGGCCGTCAGGTTAGTGTAAGTTTGCTGAGATGGTGCTGTAGACCAGCCGTGTTGGTCAGACGGGGGCTAGCCCAGCACGGAGCAGCTTAGGAGCCACACC